TCATCGTTCCAGTGGAGTAACAATACAGTTGTTTGAATAACAATGCAGAGTGTTTGAACAGACCTCTGTTTAAAGTGGAGCCAGAAAGGACAGTCAGGTGCACTTGTTAATGTAATTGCTGTAACTTCTACTTTTAAACAAATGTGTTCTCTTTTGTACTAGGTAGAAAGGAGTAGAAATAATTACAGTGGAGGTTAGAATTACTCAGCTCACAATGGCCGAATATGTGTGTTGATCTGCCAATAGACAAACGTCCCTAGCTCTATTTTTCTCTCAATACGCTTTAGTCCTTGCTTCTGTTAATGCAAGTCATCATTTTAGATGTTATGAAAACTCTAGAAAATTCCTGGTTTCATTTGATTTAAAGGTGACTTTATACTGTACAATTGAAGTATTCAGCCAAATTTCTTCTGTTGGTCATTCAAGAATATATTATTACTATACTTTATCATTTGATTATAAGAACAGAGAAAAATTAGTGAATCCTTGCTGCTGTTGTAAAACAGTCTGCTTGGTTCATACTGTTGAAGAGAACACACAGAATGAAACAACTGTCAATTTCAACTAAAACAATAACGAGTAACTTTAACATTACAAATAAACCAGTATTTGTAAAGTGGTAACAAATATTTTGTCTTCAACTTCCCACACACACCCACTCCCCTCTTATGATAGTCTGTAGATTCTTCTAAGAGAAAAAAAAAAGTGAAAGAAGAGATTATCAGGAAAACTGAAACCCTCTGTAAAAACAGAGGAATGTGTATTGCATGACACAGCCAGCATTCATGAACAGTTGCAAAACATTACCCTGACTGCTGCTTCAAAACAGAAGTTTCTTTTATTTCAGCATTGCAGGTGGCTCTTTTTTTCACCTACACAATTTTTTATTTAACATTTAATTGTAGCTTGAGTCAAATTCTTTTTTAATTTACAGTTACCACTTTTCAATGGTTTTCATTTTAAGCTGCTAAGGCAAATTTGGAGGTGGTACATAACACAGCATAGATACAAGTTACTGTGGGGATCTAAAAGGACCTGAACACCAAGGAAACTAGGGTATTTTAAATCATGTATCAGGGATTTGGAGAAACATTTAAAAATCAAACAGATGGTATTCAACTTCAGCACCTTCTTTTATTGGTTTGGGGTTTGGTTGGTTTGGGGTTTTTTTCATAAATTTATCACAGAATAAACTAGGCTAGAAAAGACCTTTAAGATCAAGTCAAACTGTTACCGCAGGACTGCCAAGTCCACCACTAAACAGTGTTGCTAAGGGCCTCGTCTACACAGTTTTTAACACTTCCAGGGACAATTGTTCCACCACTTGCCTGGGCAGCCTGTTCTAATGTCTGACCACTCTTTCAGTGAAAATTTTTTTTTCTAATATCCAGTATCTCCCCTGGCACAACTTGAGACCCTTTCTTCTTGTCCCATCACTTATTGATTGGGAGAAGAGACCAGTCACCTCCTTGCTCCAACCTTCTTTCAGGTAGAGAGCAATAAGGTCTCTACTGAGCCTTCTTTTCTCCAGACTAAACAAACCCAGCTCCCTCAGCTGCTACTCCATAAGACTTGTGCTCTAGGCCCCCCACCAACTTCGTTGCCCTTCTCTGGGCCTGCTCCAGCAACTCAATCTCTCTCTTGTAGTGAGGGGCCCGAATGTTCACGATGCAATAGTACCAACATAGAGATCTTCACAGTCTGCAGGTCAAATTCTCGTAAGCACAAAGACATGAGGTAGTATCTGAACATCAGTTTGAGAGGGTAAGCAAGTCTCGTCTCCTGTTAAAGGAGGCTGGTGAATGGCTTCAGGTTCCTTTTGCTCACCGTGTTCTTTCCAAATGCTCTGGCAATTTGGTTTTCCTTCCTGGAGGGTCCAGATGATAAACAGCACTTACCTTTCTTCCTTTCTGCTATTTAAAAACAGATAGGCCAGTAGGGAGAAAAGTTTTCTTGCTACCTTCATATCCTGCAACTTTGTTTCCCATAAATGAGTCTGGCAGCATTTTTCTTTTTCTCTTTCCAAAATACTGACTCCTGTTTGCTTCATTCCATCCGTAAGCACAGACACTGTTCTGTGTTTGTTCACTGCTTGTTACTTTCCTTCTTAAAGTTCCCAGCATATTTTTGTTTGCCATTTCTCACTTTGGTGTGTGGGTCCTGTAGCATTAGATTTTGTCACAAAACATCTCTGTCTAATCTTTGCTGTCACTTTGTCAATCTCAGTGGTGCACACCAATGGAATTTCTCGTATTCACACAAATTGAAGGAAATACAGTCACAAAGAAGCAGAATTATTTAGTTATTAATAATAGAGTGGGAAAACTGAGAGGAAGTTAATGGTGTAGGCTTGATAAACTGCTCAGAGTTTAAAATAAAAGGAGGGAAGGTTCTTTGCACCCCATGGTAACTGTAATAAGACAGTGATAAATCAAATATTTCTGTGCCAAGGATGACTTCCTACTCTATAATTGTTTTCACAAGATTAATAATTCTGTATCTCTCTGCAAGTTTAATTATTATCAAGGGAAACTTACTGAAAATTGGATGCATATGTTCTCAGGGGAAGGTGAAAGTTTAAAATTAAAATTAACAGCCTTAATATCTCTAAATTAAAAAAAAAAAAAAAAACCAACAGCCCACCAACATTTAAAATGTCATTGTTAAAAATTATAAATTTGGAAGAAGTTTGAATTGTCTCTCCATCCAAAGATTAATTATGTGGTTCTGCTGATATAAACCTAAATTACTTCTGATGCGATATATATTTCACAAAAATGAGAATGTCATATGCAAAATATCATTGAATCTTTTGCTGTAGTAGCTCTATAATGGTGGGCTACAGAGACCTGCTTCACAGTAAGGTAAAAATCTGTATCCTCACAACAAAGGCAACAACAGATTTATGGTTAGTGGGTGGTATAATTGATCCTCCCTCCTCACACTGCTAGACTATGAGGGCAGCAAGCATGACAAACTGATGCTGGATTACAGGAAAACAGAGATAAAGCAAAAGTGTACAGGCAGGCTTGAAATGATTTAGAATAGGGGGAAGGATGCATAAGCCAAAATTTTCACGTAAATCGCAGTAATGCAGGAGTGTTATGGTTAATATTTTGTACAAAGGAATAAATCTTATGTGTCTCTGTCAGGTCAGAAGAACTACTGATAGCAGAAGTGATAATCAGGGTTGAAATATTATTTGGAAAACACACAGAACTCCTTTCCCCAAGGGTATTTTTCCTTCTGATCATTATACTCTCTAGTTCTCAAGGACCCATTTAAATTACAGGGATATTGCAGTAAGGAAGATAAATATTCCTTGTTTATTGTATGTTAAAAATACTTTGAGTGCCTTTGTACGTACTCTACTAGAGCAAATGAGATTGTCTCTACAACCGAGGACGTAGTCTTAAGAATTGGGAAGTATTCATATAATACCCATATCATGTGGGCTAAAGAGGACAGACTGAGACAGAGTTCCAGCCTTTTTACCTCTCTCCAAGAACCAGAGTATTTGTCCACATACCTATTCATAGTTTTGAATGAGTAATGTCTTTTAAGGTAAAAATTCCATTTAGGTTTCCCAAAGACTTTTTATTTAAGACAAGAAGCATTTTATATATATACACAGTTTAAATGCTCAGTGAATTAAGAAAAAAAATATGTGGAATGACAACTTGAATGATAAGACTATTGCAAAATGATCTCCCATGTTGCTGAAGGCACAGACAGCTTCCAAATCAGGGCAGGATGCCTATCCTTGTACCACATTAATTTGGTTGGCAAAGCAGAAAAACAGTGACAGCCTGTGGTTTAAAAAAAATGAGTCGAAAACCTCTGAATAACAGGTTTTATATTAGGAATGGCAGTTCAGCTAGGCACTGCTGAAACAGTAAAGATGGTGAAATGTGTGCTTTTATTATGTACTGAAACCTTAAAGGTTGTTGTGATGCAAACCTTAACTAGAAGCTTTTGTAACTCCCACAGTTTTGTTTTAATCCAATAGCATCATCAAGTATTGCTTGCCTTCCATTAGATTCAGTAACTGAAATTACTAGTATAATTTTTAACAGGTTTGCATTTTGCCTTAAACAGACACTTGCAGCTCGAAAATCTGGTATTTCCATGGCCATGCTCATCCGGACCTCCATAAACAATGATGAAATGGTAAGTGTTTTCAGTGACAGGTTTAAGTAATTTAAATAATGGATAAATTTTTTGTTCAAAGTTCTTCAGAAATTATTTCAGCCTTAAACATTCCGAACTGGATAAAACTGAGTGTATAAACATGCTGTTTATTGTGGAGGAACGTTCAGGGATCTTGAGCCGAATTTGCTGCCTGATCCACAGTGACAGAAACAGGTCTGCTGCTGCTGCCAGACACTAAGCAAAAAACCCTTGTTTAAAACGCTACTTGGAGAACCTTTTATTTTAAACTGACCAGCTGCACCATGCTTTACCTGCAGTCTCTGTTCATCACATCAGCAGTACAATTAGAATGACAGGACTCTGCAAGATTTCTGTGTGGTTATTAATTTTTTTCCAAGTCCTTAGAGGTGGCTGAGACATTATTTGATTTTGTAAATGTAACGTCTGCTAATAGCACATGGGATTCTAGATGAAGAAGTATTTCATTCATACAAGAAGTGACCAGGACAATCTTTTGAAAAATCATATTTTCATAGCTAGTAAAACACATATGTTGTGGGTTTCCATTATTGACTTGCAAAAGAAATTTATTTTAAACAAAAGCACAACACATGCCGTCTTCTTCAGCAATACTTGAAGTGTGATGCAAGCAGATTTGCATGGCTAAACTAAGCAAAAGCACTAATTTGAAGGAATAAAGGCCCTTTTTGTGTTCCTTATATTGTTAGTGAAAACGTAGTTATCTAGAATATATCTTATATTGGAAAAAAAGTGTTGAATTTTTCTTACACTGTTGTTAAGCTCTATAGCAGAAAAATGGAAGAGTAGAATATGTTGACAAGTAGTCTGGGAGCTGAAGCCCGTAGCAGAAGTACACACACATCCATTCCTCTAATTTATTGTGACCTTTCTATGCTTATATGGTAATCATAAAGGAATAATTTGGTACTGCTCAGGGATGGATTGACAAAGTGGGGAACAGCTGGTATTTGAAATGATCTTTCAGCAGCATCAGTAGTCATTTTGTTCTGCTATGTCAAAATAGCAACAAAAGTCGATAGAATGGAGAACTATGGAATCTCAAAAAGGAGTTAAAGGCTGAAGGAAAATTATAGAGAACAAACGTACGCCATGCAAGTGGTGCAAAACAGAGACTTTCCATTTATGTTATAGCTACAGAAATGCCTAAGTTCAGTAAATGACCCTAAGATACTCCATATGCTTTACTAAAAGATGTCTGCTAAACAAACAAGTAAACCATTTGTAAGTATTACTTCTTTTTATGACAGTAAATACAGGTTTAACTATTCAGTTACGTGCCTCCCCTCATGCAGAAACTACCAAGTTGTGACTTCGGAGGGCTGAAGGTGCAAGTTTAGTTGGCAATGTCAATTGCCAACAAATGCAGGAAAAGAAAGCCTAATTTGAACTACACTTACAGATTCTGACTTTAGTGGTACTGTTCAGGCAGCAGTAAATCCCAGTGGAGAGCAAATATTTCTGTAATGCTTGCTGTCAATCAGGAGAAACTACTGAACTATGATTCAGGAGAAGTGGAAAGGGGAAAAAAAGTTGAATATATTTTTATGCTATTATACTCTTTGGCCTCTGCTTCAACCAGGCTGTATGAAAAATTGTGCACCAGAAATAGGTATTTGTTATGAAATCTTTAAATAAAAACATAGGCCCAAAGGCAGACAACAAATATAATTTAGATACATAAAAGCTGATTTGAGAAAATGTAAAAAGCTAATTCAGAGGTGAATAAGAAAAGCCTGTTTTATGCCAGCTCTCACTAAACATACTAAAGGGAAGTGGGTACTCTTCCCTACAGGATAAATGTAATGGTAAAGCTAGTAAAACTACTTGCAAGATATTTAAAATGAGTGAAAGGTAATACTTTCCTTCTGCAAGTAGCCAGCAGAACTTAATGCCCTAAGGCATTATTAAAACTTAGTAGAGCAAGGTTTGAAAACAAAAAGAGCAGACATTTTCAGGCATAAAAGAACTCTCCAGATACTCTCCACAGAACCAGATGAACTGCAGTCACTGATGAGAGTTAAGGAAGAAAATTCCCTTTGGGCAAGTTACTCTTCTGATTAAGGCTATTTTGGGTTTTATTCTCCTTTTTCTGGAGGGAATATTAGTGACTGATGGAAGCAGGTTGTTTGGCTGTTTAGATTCAGTATGGAAATTCTTTGAAGTAATGCTTTTTATTAAAAATCAAATGCTACTTACTCAAAAAATTAAAATCAGAGCTTAAATGCTTTGAGCTTTGCCACCTGGCATTGCTATCCTTCTGGTATAACACATTCATGACACAGTGAGTTTGCAGGTTCTCAGGCACTGATCCAAAGGCATTTTAAACAGTGTCAAAGTATTAGCTTCAGTGATGCTTAAATATATGTTTTCAGTTGAGCATTCATTTAATTGCTTTGTTAAAGAAATAGAACCGTGAGTTTGTGAAAATAATACACTATTGACATTGAAAAAGTATCTCAAGTAGTATATGACAGAAATAAACTTCACTTTGGAGGATAAATAGATAACAAAATAATCCTCCTTTATATTAACAGCACTAAAAGTTGCCATGCCCAGAGCTCAGTGAATGCGTATAATAGATACATTTAAACAGAGGAGAGTATTAGGAATGAAAGCTTCTAGACAGTAAAATAATAAAATTCTACTTTACAATTGTTAACAACTCTTTACAATTATTAACAACTGCATTTTCAGGTGAAAACTTCATTTACCCTCAGATGTTTAGTTCAAGACCTGTTGAGCTGTGCCATTCATTACTTACTGCCCTTTCAGAAATAGATACAAGTTACTAGCAAAATTCTAAAATTATTTATACTGTGAAAAAAACAGTGAAGTTGGACAGGGTAAAAGAGCAGGAGTTGTACTGATACTACTAGAGTTCAGGAGTGAGAGAGTGTAATCTGCAAAGGAATCTTCAAAGACCTGGTAGTTTCTGAGAAACAAGCTGCGTAACTTCACTTTAGGTTGTTTTTGAAGTTTTCTTTCTGATCCCTGTAGCCGGTAGACCGTGATGTGGGAGGCAGAGGGTGGAGAAATGCACAAAGATGAAGTCTGCTGAGTTAGGTGGCCATGAATTAGCCCAGTCCCTCTGCTAGATCAAACCAGTGGTAACCTTTGCTTGCTTTCAGTGGAGTTCTGAGATGGCTAATTGTCTAGAGTAGGCTAAGAAAGCGCCCTGGAGAGAATTCTGTATTTGTTTTAGTTTTTCCTGTCATATCAGCTTATTTTCTTAGTTCAGTTCTACAGTGTTTTCAGAGGTGCTGGGATCAAATATCCATGAGAAGTCTGACCGTATTTGTTTTGCCAGGCTTTACAGGATGGATATTGGTTTTAGCATGTTACTATGAACTTCAATAAGAACTGTTGCAGCCTAAACTACTTAACATTTGGATTTGTTATTTATGGTGCTTGAACCTACAAATCAGTAGAGGTATGGCTATATGGTAATGTTTTTTCCATGGTAGCAGAAATGCTTTAACTGATGGTTCTGTGCAGTGTTATGCAGATGTGCACACAAAAATATTTTATTTTTATTGGACAATTTGTTATTAGCAGAATATCTCACATTTTGAGTTGAGACTCAGATAGATAAAACCAAGAGCACATCAGTCTGGTGTTAGCCAAGCTAATATCTTGCATTTGTCATACACATACCACAGGGGGATAATAAAACTATGGGAGTGTTAACACATGTTTAACTGAGCAAGTCAGCCTTGCTTTCTCTACTGTCAGAATGGTGGCAGTGATGTTAAGGTTCGTATGGACAAACCATTACAAATGGTTTTTTCCAGATTCCAAAATGTTGTTCCCTAGTTTGCTACAGCTACACAGTCAGCACTACAGCTAGCTCACACTATAGCCACACTAGATGAAGACATAGTAGGACAGACTTTAGGAAACAGCCCACTTCCTATTGTGTTGCCTCTTTTAATAAGGTGTCTTCTTTCTAAAACAAACAATTTATTCATTTATAAGGGAACAGGTCTAAAACTTCTAATACATTCATGGCAGCCCTGTGCCCATTTGGCATGGGGGGGACCCTCACTTGACATAAAGATTATATAGACACTAAGTATTAAAGGATAGCGCTGTCTGTAATCAAAGTACATTTCTTGCAGTGTGTCTGAGTTCCTGTAGGAAGTATTTAAATATTCAGCAGCAATGTGGTAGTTCATTAGTTAAAATGCATCAATGAATGTAGCACTAATGAATTTTCTAATTTCTGCCTCAAAATACAAAAAAATATATAGGGCTATGTTAATTCACTGACTTGAGTCCAACTTAACTCTGCTGTTTCTGTAATCACTCAAAAAAGTCATCGAGGGTTCTTTTGTCTTCAAAGTGCAAGGCAAAATGCGTTAATCAGTATTTTGCACATTTGTTCACGCTTCTATGTATATACTGATATTTTGTAACATTTTAAGTGTAAGGGTATATACTTTAGCTCCAGTTCACTTGTATTAACCAATACTTCAACCTGAATCTTTTTATTTATTCAACAGAAAATACATGTCTTCAAGAAGACACTGCAGGCTTTGATCTATCCCATATCATCAACTACACCTCATAACTTTGAAGTCTGGACAGCTACAACTCCCACATACTGTTATGAATGTGAAGGTCTACTTTGGGGCATAGCCAGACAAGGCATGAGATGTACTGAATGTGGTGTCAAATGTCATGAGAAGTGCCAAGACCTCCTAAATGCTGACTGTCTGCAGAGTGAGTATTTCCTGACAGCTAAAGCTTTGCAATATTTAACACCTTTGATTTTGTGTGTACTCTAAGACATTCCCTGAAATGAAGAGCCAGATCATCAGAAATCAGTGAAAGCATGTTGATATTCATTGGCTAAGGAGCTAGCCAGAAACTTTATGAAATAGTGACTGTTAATTTTGGTTTTGTCCTTGAAACTTGGCAAATGTTGCTGGTCAGTTACAAAATAAACTTTGCTAACATCAGTGTATTATTTACTTTCCCCTGCCTATGGCAACATCCAGAATAATTTGTTACATGGCATAAACCCTCTTTGTTTTATTTAACTTAGAACACAAGAGGTAAAACAGAGATAAAAATATTCCTAATACTTATGGTAGTCATGTTAATGTGCTATAAAATAGACAAAAATACAGAACAGTAAATAGGATAGTTTCACAAGTGAGAAAAGAATGCTTCCTTTGAAAAGTATTATAGAAGTATATTGTGCAGCATTAATACGATTGTTGGTGAATTTTTAGAAGTCTATAAAGTAAAAAAGGTACTTGTGAGTAGCTTCTTCAATAAGCACAAATAACTTCTGTTATCTACAGAACAGCTGAGCTGCTTTTCATGGTGCCACAACCATGGAAGTGACATGAGAGATGTATCCATCCTTGTATTAGTTGAATCTTTAGGCTAAAAACTAAAACTAAAAAGCTACAAAAGATATACAGATTAAAAGTATCCTTTTTATCTTCCTTTTTACTTATCTGAAGAAAAACTCAGCCCAGGGGTTCCCTGACCCATATCACTAGCCCCAGAAAACAAAACAAATGGCTCAAAGAATGATATTGCCTTTGAAGAATTTTTACAAATATATAAATGACAAGGCTGAGAGCCTGCAAAAAATAAGTAGGGTTGGCAGTCATCTGTGGTGTCAAGTTTGAAACATTGAACAACTGTTTCTTGAAAGAGTAAACCTCTAGGAGGCAAAATGCAGATAAAAAAATTATTTAACACTCCTAAGGGATCCAAATCTTCCCGTTACTATACAAAGGGTTTTGAGAATCCTGTCACATTTTTTTGCAACAGATTAATTGTTCAGTGAGTTTGAATGTTATATTCCTTTGAAAACAGCTTCATGCGCTTTGTTTCATTTATGTTAAAACATTTAACGTTTCACTAAAAGAATGAATTGAGCAGCGCAGTTGGTTGTATAGGAAAGCTTATGGTAACCGTATCATGAAGTGAAATGAATGCAGTTCATTGTGGTTATTTTTATTACAGTTATACTTTTGGCCATCTCATAATCACTAGGACTTACTGGCCTCCAAGCTTCTGTAATTTTCTTTTCTTTTTTTATGTACGTAATGATTGCTAATGTAGACTGTAGAAATGAATTCACATCTCAAGCTCTTTAACATCAATATCTAAGCTTGTCCTAAATTAGATTTAAGAAAAATCAGTAGCACTTTCATTAGACCTCTCATCTTCAACAAGATACCCATTCTAATAGTAGGTGTAGTATTAAATCAGAATTGATTTTAATCATGTTGAGTTTGTATCACTCCCTAGGGTAAAAGGGGCTTGTTTACTTCCTTTGCAATATAAGTTAGAATATTGTCTTAATTAGTCTGATCAATACTGCATGAAAAGAGCTGTTGATAGACTGTCAGCAACAGAGGATATGAAAATAGCTACAATAAATAATTTAGTATAAATAGGAGCTTGTTAAGTAAAACTTAAGGCAAATTTCTTTTTATTGCATATTACAATTTCATATGTACTGTCTCAAAAAGCAGCAAAGTTTTCAATAGGAATGCTATATTGCCACTTAGATTGTGTCCATGGTTTATCATTTCATCATGATGTTGTACCTGTACTTTTAAAGTAAGGGCAGAAAATACAAGAAAATTAAAAATGTTACTTTCCTGCATCTTGCAAGATGAACCTGTCACTCTTTCCAGGCAGCTCAGCAATTATCTCTTTTGTGATAAAATCCCTAGAGAATTTTTTAACTGGTATTTGGTTTCATGGTAGCATTTAATTCATTTTTTACCAATTCATGGTTTTTCAGTGTGTAAAACTCTTAATCACTAGAACGTTAGTCTTCTCATTCAAAAAAAAAAAGCAAAAAAGGTATTCAAAGAGATTTTCAGGATTTATCAAGATCTTCTTTAGCCATTGCAAGCTGAGAGTGCCTCAGCAAAAAAACGTGTCATCAAAAGAAGAGAAAGGTGTTTGATAATAGTGTAAAGAGGGAACTGTGTTCCTATTCAATCTTGAAAAATATGAATTCTAGTTGCGTGTTGAGTGGTTCGACATAATTTTGTCTTAATTTTACTATCCATTTAAAGGGAACAATAATACTTTAATCCTCTCAGGCATTGAGGATAGTTGGCTGGATGATGTTTTCACAACCTTTTGGAAGGGTCAAGTACTTAACTGCTGCTAGTGATAACGATGACACATTGTGTGATGATGATTGTCACATTCAGTGCTTATGAGCCCTTGAGTAGTGTTCAACAACATGAGCTGAAATTCAGCAATACCTGTAGCAAGTGGTAATGTGTCATTGATTACAAGATTTGTAGCTTTCTTGCATTGTGCTTAATATGTCAATCTTGTCAAGAGCTGAAATAACCTCTTTAGCTCTACAGAAATCTTTTTGCTTCCAACATTTGTAATACCATTTTGACTACACTGATGTTTCTTTTCTCATGCCCAACTGCAAGATGGACATTCGTTTTTTTTAAAAAGTATGCTTGGGTTATTCCAATACAATGTGTATAGCAGAGACATTGATCAGGAACATTTTCCTCATTTTATAAGGAGAACTTCACTTTGGCTTTTAAAGAGCCTCTGAGATCACTTATGACTTTCAGAGAAATCTCTACAGAGTTCTCCTGGGAAGAACTGTGAGTAAAATCTGTAACAGCATGGTCTCTTTATACTTTTTTGGGCGTTTTTGTTTAGTAAGTAAAAAGCTGTAGTGGTTCTGATGTCCCAGACAAATAAGCAAATCACCTGAGTGTTTTGTGACCTATTTTGTAGGATAGACCTGGCATATTACAAGTAAATACAGTCTAGAAGTTATTCTCACATAGATAATATTCTTTGATCACTTCTGCCATCCTCATATACTTACTGAAATTATCAGTAAGTGTTCTCCAATTTTACTGGAGAGAGGAACCTGTCTGTTCCATACCTGTGATATATTATTTTCTTGGGTGATCACTAAAGAGTTTTCCAAAAGACCCTAAAGTTTGGTATCACACAAGCATGGGTCTGGTGCAATATTGCTTGCAGAAATTCCCTATGTGGTTACAGTGTTAGCATTCTTGGAAGTGCACTCCCTTAAATCTATACAGCTGCAACCAGAGTACAAAGCCACGTCTACACTTTGAGAAGCAGAACACGGAAGAGTGGCTTTAATAGCCATCAAAGATTCCACTCCTAACACAGCTTTTTGAAGCTCTACTTTGTTGATACATGATCTTTAAAGAAAGGATGGAGCGCACTAGTGATCCAGCGTAAGGATGTCAAGTCAGCATTACAGTTAGGGTAGTCCCAAACTAATATAAATGCTTAATCCAGGGAATGCTTACATTCAGTAGATTTTGAATGCTTTGTTAAATGGATTTATGTGATCATTAACTTTTTATTAACACTGTTCCCGGAAAGAATGAAAAAAACTTTTCATGAGTCAGGCAGCCAATATTGAGATGTATCTGGAAACAGTCAAGAAAGTTGCTATATATATTTCTTTCTACTATTCATTAGATTTCCACTGTGGGAGAGCATAGCAGATGTCTAGATTAGTGTCCTTACTGTCAAACTAAAAATTCTTCCAAAAATGTGGTGGAAACATTATCTTGTTTAAATACTGTTTCTGTTAATTTGGGGGAGTTTTTTGTCCTCGTGAGACAAATATGGTTTCTCGTACCATCCTATTCCAAAAGGAGAGAAAGGAATTAAAATATTGTTACATCATGCTGACTTAGAAAGTTAAGAAATTAATTGAAGAATTATTCATATATGTTTTACTGAAGCTTAGTTTGTAACAGGTAAAGGACAGAGCAGACAGACCTAGATACTGCACACTTTTGTACACCTTTCTGAAGGAGTCAGTATGCATAATTCTCAAGGAAAAGTTACATGTTTGGATGTTTTCACAGTACTGGTCAGCACTAAATAGTACTGATTCAAAAAATATTTCCAGGTATAACACATACCTTATTGAAGTTGAATATTAACCTGTCATGTTAAACTGATTATTTTAGGTATTGCAAAGAATAAGTGTAAGAGGATTGATATCATCCAAATGAAACACATCTTTGAGTACTGCAGCAGTAGCAATTGGCTGGAGACCTTAGAGGAGGAGAACAACTAAGATAGCTTTTTTTTTTTTTTTAAAGTATTGACCTTTTCTCTCATTTCAGGAGCTGCTGAGAAGAGTTCCAAACATGGTGCAGAAGATAAAACGCAGAACATTATTAGTGCTATGAAGGAAAGAATGAAGATCAGAGAGAAAAATAGACCAGAGGTGTTTGAAGTGATCCAGGAAATGTTTAATATTTCCAAAGAAGACTTTGTACAATATACAAAAGCAGCAAAACAGAGTGTTTTGGATGGCACATCCAAGTGGTCAGCAAAAATAACCATCACAGGTAAATTTTCTTCTGAACTGTTTGCTCTAAGAGCTCTTTCTTTCCTAGCCTCCTGGTTTGGGAATAAGATTTATTATAATTAGACCTGGAACTGTGTGTTCAATTGCGTACTTAGTGCATCCATAAATGGTTGAATTTATAGCATGCTAACTGGAAGAGTTTTAAGTTACAGCTGTTGGCAAAACTACTTTATATTCCACTGCTCTAGGAAGGAAGATAAATAGTCTTGTCTCCTCTTCGTCCTAACAATACCTCCTGTGCTATTGCTGAGCTTTTTGCCACCAGCTGCAAGAGTTAAAGTTCACAATTGCATTTGTGGGGTTTTAATTACTCTAATGATAAGAATGCTGCATCTTGCAAATCCAGACCTTATTTATTTGAAACTCATCATTCATCCTTTGTTGAAAATTAGTATTTGGATATATTTCCATTTTTATGTGATTTTGCTGCTAAAAACAATGTGTCACCTGCAAAATCTCTAATCTGTACACTTAAAAAACTTGGAAATGGCATTTTCTATGTTTTTAAAAAACTTCCAAATGAGGAGTTCCAGTGGCTTTTGAACCTATTTGTTAAAACACTTTCCAATTAGTTTGCAAGAACTGGCTGACATCAAGCAAGATGGAAATTTACAAGCTGAATTTCAACAAAAATCTTTGCGTAATTGGTGGATGGGGTTGAAAAATGAGTGTTGTGGTTTAGTAAGTGCAGCCAATGATACGCTTCCTCTATTAGGATCTGTATATCTTTGTTGAGGTATCTTTTTCAGCTGTGGCAGCCACTAAAACTGAGTACAAAAATAAATCGGACTTAGTCCCACATCTTCAAATCACTGTATCACAAAGTGTTAAAACAGTCTTTTCAAAAATAAGCATATTCAATCACATTTCTTTCACTAAAAGTATTCGTAATAGTAATATTCTTTTGTGTGAGGGCCAAAGGGGGGTTCTTTACATAAAAGAAAATTTTAAATAATTATCTTTTTTTTCTTTTTCTTTTTTTTTTTCCATTTCTGGTACTGTGTATGTTTTATAATGTACATAATTTAGCAGTACAGTGAGACATGTATAATGCATATAATTTATAAATGAATGTATTTGGGTAGTGTGCTCAAAGATTTTGGCATAGTACTTTTCGTTTCTGTGGTAATATTTTAAGATATCAAGGAAGGGTCATTGAGAGATGAAATGGCCATTTGCAGTGCTGAAATTTAAAGCTGGCATTCAGAAGGGAAAGGAGAAAAACATTTGTCAAGTGAACATAAACGAATTATCCTGTGAGAGCTGGTAGATGTGTTGTTAGCTACGCATGCCTCTGCAGTACAAACTAAAGCCCAATCACACTTGGGGCAGTGTGTAAACCATACACATTGCTGAGAATATCAGATATGTGCCAGAAGAAATCAGGAGAAAATCTGAGATTGTGAGTCGGATGGACTAGGAAAAAGGAAGGCCATTCTGAAGGTTGTGGGACAGTGTGTGAAACACAAAAGAATAGTTCCTGAAGTTTGGGACTGTCACCAAGCGCTGGTAACATTGAGAGTTGCGTCAGGGAAAATAATTCATTCAACATAAAAAGGACATGGAGCTGTTGGAGCAAGTCCGGAGGAGGGCCACGAGGATGATTAGAGGGCTGGAGCACCTCCTGTATGAAGACAGGCTGAGAAAGTTGGGGCTGTTCAGCCTGGAGAAGGGTGCATGGAGACCTCAGAGCAGCTTTCCAGTGTCTGAAGGGGGGCTATAAGGATGCTGGGGAGGGACTCTTTGTTAGGGGCTGTAGTGATAGGACAAGGGGTAATGGGTTTAAACTTAAACAGGGGAACTTTAGGTTAGATCTAAGGAAGAAGTTCTTTACAGTGAGGGTGCTGAGGCACTGGAATAGGTTGCCCAAGGAAGTTGTGAATGCTCCAATCCTGGAGGTGTTCAAGGCCAGGCTGGACAGAGCCTTGGGCGACATAGTTTAGTGTGTGGTGTCCCTGCTCATGGCAGGGGGGTTGGAACTAGATGATCCTAAGGTCCTTTCCAACCCTAACTATTCTATGATTCTGTGATTCTTACTTTTAGTTCTACCTCTAAAGGATATTCAAAGCTCTCTTGTATTCAGGCCAGTATAACAGTTAACAATTCTGGAAGGCACTGGTACTTAATTCTCTTGTAAATAGGAGAAGGATACTTCCTTACCTTCTAAAAATTTCCCTTTGGATTTGCAGTGAACGGAGAAGACAAAATATGTTGTAGCTCATTCCTAAAAGTTAGTCTTTTCAAGAATGAGAGCTAGTCTGCTAAGTAAGAAGGTGCCATTGTTATGTAATCATTTTTCTGAGCACACTGGGGGAGCTTCATTATCCAAAATGATTGGCATTACAGAATGTTAACTAAATGTTACCACTAAGGCAGTTGAAATACGTGCAAAATAATAAAACCAAGCTCTGGTGATGCTAGAAGCCATGGCATGTGTTTTAGCTGCAGCTCTCTGGGTTTGGTAGACTGCTACTTGATAGTTCTGTTTTCTGCTGAGATTTCTCGTTTTATGAATTATGATGGAAAATCAAGTAATGTGTATTTTTATTTGCCACAAAATGCACATACATTAACTATACACCCACATTAACTGTCAGAAGAGCTGACAAATACATGAGCAGCTAATGATAATTGATCTGAACTGTCACCCTGTCTGTGATAGAGTAGGAAGCAATCTGAAAATCCTCATGGTACATCTCTCACATGAGGAAAACAAATGACAAAGTCATAACCACGCTTCTCATGTTTAGTTTCATAATCTGGAGTGCAGATTTTTGAAAATGGAAGGCTTTATTTTGGAAATTCTACTTTGGATCTTTGGAGAAATTTGAAAATCATGATTCATTTATGGGAGGGGTGGAAATTTTAGGGAATTATTAGACTCAAAGTTATACAATAATATTATATTACTTGCAAAGCTGATTGAACAAAAGCTTGAGAAACATATCTGAATTATGTATGCATGGCAAAAAAAAAAGTGTTTCGTGCTCTGTAGTGAATCTTTAAATTTATTTCCATATTGAACCATATTTGTAAATTTTATACAGTCCAGAGGGTAGTTAGATGAGACTTGTCAATCTCCAGAGTAGCAGATGCTGGGAAAATTCATCCACAAAGCTTTGTTTTAGGAGACCTCCGTTTGAGGGCTTTGTTTCCTGTTGCTGTTGTCAGTGTCTCATTTATTTCTTGGCAATGAAGGCTATGAGGGCTAAAGCATATTTCTTTCCTTTTGTTGCAGTTCTTTGTGCTCAGGGATTACAGGCTAAGGACAAAACTGGCTCAAGTGACCCATATGTTACTGTGCAAGTTGGCAAAACCAAGCGGAGAACAAAGACAATTTTTGGAAACTTGAATCCAGTATGGGATGAAAAATTTTACTTGTAAGTACAGAAGATACTCTTGTTCCTTGTTTTGTGAATTTACATTTAGGTAACATAATGCTACCAAGTAAAATAATTACTCAATTGGAAAATGTTTGTTGTCTCTATTATTCATGTTCATAACATTAATAAATTATGAAGTTCTGAATGAAAAGAGCATAGATGTGACTTTATGATACAGTAATTATACGGCTCATAATTATGTCTTTTGTGGCATCAGTTGGTGGTATTTATTTTCATTTTTTAAGGGACTTCAGTAATAGTTTTCAGACTCAAACCTTACATACCAAATGTTTGCACTATAAATGCCTTCCTATGTCTCTGGTACTCACCATGCAAGTTAAATGAATTTTATTCAATATGACTCTCCTAGGGGAATGTGATAGTAACTGGTATGCTTTAGGTTCTGGCCTGGGCTGTTTGTAATGTCTGATGTTTCCTTGGCTGAGAGGTGTCCAGAAGTCTGATGTGGAGAGTACGGAACAATCCTCCTGTCTCCTTTCTTTCGCCATAGCCTCTGAAGTGAATATGGTATAGTTTGTTGTCGGCATGTCACAGAACTTCAATCCTGACTGCAAAGTAGATGTTTCAGTCTTTAATACACTGACTTAAAGTTTGAGTATGGTTTCATGCCAGTTCAAGTTCTGGCAATGTTCCTGGAACTTCTTTCAGAAAGACATTTTACAGTACAAGAAATTCCAATTCACAGGAACTATACTGTTACTTTCCTGAAAATATTGCCTTGGGATACAACACGTTCCTGACTAAAATGTGTTTAATCTGATAATGGTATCAATTTGCTCAGTGTTATTCCTCTATATGTAGCAAAAGTATTTCAGCATTTATTCTTTTTTCAGCTTGATTACCACATGCTCCAGTATATAATATGCACTTAACTACTATTATTAAAGCCAGTTAAGGATTCTGAAAAGCTCATATAAACCCTAGATTTCCTTTGGAAATTTTTAAGTGAAAGAGAACTATTTATTTAGAGAGATCTTTCAAATTGTTCAGAAAAGTTCCAATCTACCCTGAGAGCACCTACCACAGTATTATCCCATGAAGTTAGTAGATATTTTATGGAAGCTGTGTGAAAACATTAATATAGTAAATTATGAAAAGAAGAAATTATAATAATATAAAAGGATATTAAATTTCAGTGTTTGTTAAATACAACAGATTTATTTGCATTTTTACTGAGAATATATGCAGACTGTTGACACATAATAATCTAACCTTGCTACTACATTATAAAAATCTAATATATTTGTGCCTAATAGTGCTATTCAAAACTGTATGTTAATTTGATACAACTTGATGAAACCCTGTATCAGTGATGGTAAAAGTGATGTGTCATTTTTTTACGCAACTCTGAACTTATAAAGCAGTAGCAGAACAGCTCAGGATCCTGCAGACTGCCCAGTCAAGATTCAGAATCTCTAGTTAGTCTCCTTGTGCAACAGACAGCTTCAAAATAATCACTCGCCACAATGTAAAATAATTTTCTTAAGCTATAATATTGTTTAGTTTCTCTTATCTTCCTTTCCTTCTATAAAGAACATGTTAGTTGTCATTATTCCTATCTACATAAACAATGGAAAAAATTTTTTTCAGCCATTTGAAATAGACCTTTGTTTTCTTCAAGAAGGTGCAATGTCATAACATGAGAGATTACCTTCTTATCAGGTAGCACAACATCTATTTACCTGGTTTGGGAGGGGTTTGTTTGGTCTGTTTTGTTTGGGTTTACTAAAATCTGCTACCTTATTGTTGAGGAAGTGATGATTCACTAGTGAGTTTGAAAGATGTATGATCCAGCTGAACTTCTATTTGCCTGGAAAAGTACTGGGTGTTCCAACTATATTAAACAATGTATGCCCATTTGTTTCACAGATTCAAATGCCAGTAGTAGAATTGTTAATTCAGAGAAAACACACACTCAGAATCTTTACATGCTTCCTCTATACAGATCATGTTTTCTTTTTGAGCTATTTGTATTACTCCAGTAGCAGTTGAAGTATCATGCCTTATTGTTTCACTGTGAGTAACCAAAGGTAAGAGACTAGTTACTTTCTTGCATTTCAATGTATGAGTTAGTGTCAAAAGTTGGATGAGCAATTGGGTAAATTTGATACGAAGTTTTAAATGTATTTACTGAAAGATATGAGCAGGGCTACCATTAAATCCCTGGAAACATGAAAATATGATACCTTTTTTTCACCCACCACTAAGTATTACTATCATCTGCTGCTCTAGCAATAACATTAATAAAAAAAAAACCAAAAAACAACAAAACCTTTCTATAGCATGAATCTCCTGAGTAACTGCTTTGAACTGAATACATTTTCAATCACTTCTGTAGCACTCGTGCTTTCTAAAATAATCTCCCCGATTTACTAAATGCATTGGATTTCAATTGAAAGTATATGAGAATTTCTAAAGTATATTAAATAAATTATAAATGTTTAACCACAAGATTAAATCTGAAATAGAGCAATATAACTATTTCATTGGCTTAGGAAGTTTCATTTAAATTAGACTCTACTAGTGATATTTGATAGTCCTATTTAAAATAAAATACTAATCATCATTATAACTCCTAAATGATAAACTTGTAGAAATACATCTCAAAATCCTACAATCATATATTGACTCATAATAGCAAAACGTGCATTTAAATCTCCCCATCTGTTCCAAAACAAGGACTTGGAAAAAACATTGGCTCCCCACTGTGCATTTGCTCTGTCATAGCAGATAGAGTGAGGCAGTGTTCCTGTTTGCAGAATCACACATTATGCTAATATGATTGGATGGTAAGCAGAGAGTGAATGTTTCTAACAGAAAATAATGTAACCTTCTACTAAATGACCATGGGATACTGGCATAGATTTTAACATGGGAACTCATAAACCATTACCAAATTAGAGCTCACCTACAACTGCATGCATTTCAGCAAGAAAACCCAAGACTGTCAGAGGAAGAACACATCTTTTCTTGAAATGTGTATTTTTTTATACACAAGATAGAGAAGTAAACAGGACAGAAGATGCTTCTTTAATTAATGTAATACAGGTGGTAAGGGCTTTGATCTTGTCTATTGGTATTATTAAGTCAGCAATAACAGAGCAGTTCTTGTTTTTTCAATAAAATATCAGTGATATGAGAGTTTTTTCAGTGACAGAGCAAAGGAAGAGTCTTGCAGCTCTTTGTCACCTTCCTTTTTCTGGTTCAGTGTGGCACCTGATATGAGAAAGAAGCTTGTTTTTTCGATTTTCAGTTACAAGGAAAATATATTTCAACTGTATAGTTTTCATCTTTGTGCAAACTTTTAATGTATAATAAACTCCACTCATTCATTTCTTGGCTATTTTCAGCAGTTGATTGCAGAAATATGGAAGTCTGCTTTTTCTGGCAGCGTTGTCTGGGTAGCGTACACCTCCAAATTGCCTTGTAGACTTTGCAGGCATCATGTTCCCTCTGAACGCTCATTAACGTCTCGCTTATGGTTGTATAATACAGAAGTTTTTCATATAAATGAATAATTATTTTACATATTCTTTCTATTTTGTCTGTCACTAGGCCACCATATGGCTTTGATCAATAGTCTTTTTGGGTATCTATTACTCCTTTCAGTGCATGAAAACATTTGATCTAATTGTTTTAAATTAGACCAATGAGAAGCAGTTTCTGAAGACTATGATTACCACCTGGCCAATGTAACGGTCATCACTAAATTGTTAGAATTTGTCTGATTTATGACATTATTGATGATATTCTGACTGCAAATATCAATGCAGACATAAAATGTTATAGAGAGGTTTTCAATTGCTTGCAGGAAAACTAACCAAACAAACAAACCACCCAACTGTATATTAAAACAAATGTAGAATGATACTGGGAATTTGCACTGCTATATATCCTCTGTCACCAAACAGCATTGATGTAGATTAGAGACAGTGACAGTTCAGGTCTCTGTGTTGGTCAGAGAAACTCTTCAACTGCTTCATGTTTTGAATATTTAAGTCTAGAGTTTCTGATTGAGAATTTCTGGCAGCTGTTTCAGGCTGTGGATGTTCTTAGAATTATCTTAAAGAGCATCACAAACACAACTTGTACTGCAAAGAACTGATTTTTTGATTCATTTAAAGCAATATTTACTGTAAGCAGCCATGAATAGAAAACAAATACAACAAGAGGACCTTAACAAAGTTCATTCATACTGTCATTTTATACAGATCAACTGAGCAGACTTGTAAAAAGTATAATCTTCATTGTACCTGAAGACAATGGGATTGGTTAATGGTCCACGTGGTGTTCCACTTTCCAGTGATAACTAGGCAGAGACTTGTGATAATATTTTTAACAGCTTAAAGACTGTTTCATAAGCAAGAGTATAAAACAGAGAATTATGTTACACATAACCAATTGGGTAATAGAAACCCGCAAATTAGTTTACTAGATTTATCCATTCCAAAAATTATTTGATAAGCAGCCAAGTCCCTGAGAGACATCCTACTAATTAAAATAACTATCTCACAGCCTCAGCCCAAACCAAGAAACTCTAAGAACATATTCAAATGATAAATTGTTTGTTCAGCAATAATGTTTTTCAGTTTCACAGTACAGCATGTTTAGTCTCAGTCTTTTTTTCAAACTATGTCAATCCAGCTTAATTTTATATAGCTTACTTTTTGATATGACAGAGTAAACTAATGCAAGAAAAGGCATAGTTATTCTCATTCTGCTTTATCAGAAAGCATGCCTCGTGAGCACACAAAATACAGCAAAAAACAAAGATTGTGTACTTCAATTATAGTAGACCACAGTGATTCTTCAGCAAGTGCTCTTACATAGGCAGGCTAGCAGTCTTCAGCTGAAGTAGGCTGTTGAAAACAAATCAGATCTTCAGGTTTATCCATCAACAACCAGAGTGACTTGCTACAAAATATGCAAAACTCCAGGCAAAGATGTTGCAAAGGCTTGTCAGTAATTTTCTACATAGAATTATAAAATAGTTTGGGTTGGAAAGGACCTTAAGATCATCTATTTCCAACCCCCCTCTATCTCTGGCTTAGCCTCATTTGTCTGCTGATTGCTTACAGAATTTCACCACAATAGTTCATTGGAAAAGTTACTTTCTTTAAGTTCTAGCAATAACACTTTTTTGAAGTAGAAGGAAAAAAAATTCCTCTGTACTTGCACTAACTAGTCAGAGAATGCAAGTTTGTTAGTGGATGTAAGAGTTCTTACTGAAGATCACAAGGAAAGAATGCAGTTATGATGAATGTTTTTAATTTTGGCAGAGTGAGAAATCAGTCTCCATACCTTCTATATCAGCTTCTCCATTCATTTGAATTTATTTCTTTAGTGAAAGTAGCATGATATCAATCACATTTTGTTTCATCACTGGGTGCAGGTCTCTTAGATGAGGCATACAAGCAGGTTGTGCCAGTGCACCTTACATTGAATTTACATTGCGCTACTGTAGTAAAGATAATTTGTTATTCCTTTTTTTATTACTCTAGCCATT